TCAAGAGAGGCAGGGTATCACTGACACGTTAGAAGGCTTTTTAACCAGTCCTTACGGCGGCTCGATTCCTACATCAATAGATAGTTTATTTAGAAGCAATAAGAACCGCTTTGTACGCAAAACCCAACCCCAGCCTGTAGCACATCCGCGTCCCTCTCCCGTAGCATCTGACGATCCCTCCCAAGCAGCTGTCCGTCTTTTCCCCAACAATGACAATACCGGGTTTCATGTAGGTATCCCATCAGGACATCGGTTTCAGCATCACAGCCGCAGAAAGAGAGACCTTTTGGACGCGAGCGAAGACCTTCAGCAATCAGCCTCAGGGCAGCGGTTTAGACGTCGCCCAAGGCCAGGTCCCCCTGGACGTAACTCGCATAACAGAGCAAGGGCGAAAAGGCCACACCATTCTAAAAAGCCTGAAGCCCGAAGACCTAATTTCAACGATTTTGACGATCAAATCCTTCACGATTCTAATGACCAACTGTTCGATTTATCTGAGCTCGAGGGCTTTCCCTCGGCCAACTTTTTAGACAATTTTAATGCCCCTTTCCCTAATGAGGATTTCGAGTTCGAGGAAATTTCACTTGAATCTTCTGACGTTCGAGACCAGGTCAGACCTGCTCTCAAAAAACCCTCAAATCGTCCCACCCGCCTACGGCGCCCCCTTCCGAGACGACCCCCTCCCAGACGACCCTCCACTTCAGGACGACAACACTCTCCTGTAGGACGACCTTCTCCTCCCAGAACCCTCTCCCCTGGCTTACGGCCTGGGCCCTCTCCCCCTGCCCACATCCTCCCCCCTTCCAACTCGGTTCGCGCCCCCAGACACATCCTCCTCCGGAATCGCCTCATGCCCAAACTCACGCGCCAGCAGGATATCCCCATATTACGAAGGAGCCTCCAAGTAGCTCAGCGTCGTCAGTCCGATCAGTCAGTCACTTCCGGTAAGATGACTCCCGACAGACTCCAGACCACCGACGACGAACGATCGACTTGCTCCGAACGACTAATAGACCAACTCGATTAACCGAATGAGGTCTCCTGTGACCAAATTTCCTACAAGGGCTCTGCATGTACATGAGAATAACAGAATCCTCTTTGGCTGTGAATGCTGTTTCTTTGTCTTGAAGAGACTGACAAGCAAAAGAATCTGGTGTTATACTAAATTTTAAAATCCACATCATGACCAGACTGGACAGAAGTAACCGACCTAATGTTGCTTATTGTCTGGCATGTTGCATGTACTAATTCATGTGTGTGTTACTAAAATTCTCACATTATGAGACTTATTATGTTAAGAAAATCTTCGTGCATGCTATAAACCCCGATTCCCCCCAAAACTAAGCTGAACTAATCTATTTTTTTAACATAATTTTCGACAAATAACAATACCTTAGTAATATAAGACGCATTGCACACACACACATACACACACACACATACACACATATTAACATATGTGCATACATATATACATATATATATATATATATATATATATATATATATATATATATATATATATATATATATATATATATATATATGTATGTATACATATATGTATATATATACACATATATCTTTAATTCTCATAAAATACCATAGAGATTTTAACCGAATTACACGCAAATGAACATGATGAATTGGGCAACAGATTACACCATAATCAGGAAGAATAGATCTTTAAAAAACCTGGTCAGTGAATCAAAGTTCATACAGACTTCACTGAACCCTGCCAAAGCACTCACACCCCTGCCCATCGCTCTCACTTACCCTTTTAGACGTGTAAGTCACGCTGGCGCTTTTTGCAGATGTGGCCGAAGCAAGGGAGGACAGCGCCGGTTTCATTGTAGGAAAACCGGATAATTTCCCACTATTCTCGGCCATCGGGGGGTTCGGTCCCATGCAAGACATCGAGAAAGGAGATTGTGAGTTTGCCTTTTCCTTATTTCGAAAGGAGTTGTATTTAAAAAAATATATATTATTGTTAATTATTATTGTTATTGGAAGAGGCGTATTATATTACTGTTATTATCATTATTATTATTATCATCATCATCATTATTATTATTATTATTATTATTATTATTAGTAGTAGTAGTAGTAGTAGTATTACCATCATCATCATCATCATTATTATTATTGTCATTATCATTATTATCATCATTATTATTATTATTGTTATTATTATTATTATTATTATTATTATTATTATTATTATTATTATTATTATTATTATTATTATCATTATTAACATTATTAATAACATTATTATTATCATTATCATTATCATTGTTATTATTATTATTATTATTATTATTATTATTATTATTATTATTATTATTATTATTATTATTATTATTATTATCATTATTATTATTATTATTATCATTATCATTATTATCATTATCATTATCATTGTTATTATTATTATTATCATTATTATTATCATTATGATTATTATTATCATTATTATCAATATTATTATCATCATTTT